GAGAAAATAGTATCATAAATTGCTTGTTGGATGAAGAACAATGCCTTTTGAGTCCCTCTTTTTGTTTTCCCTCAATCGATTTTCTTCATCTGGGTCTGTAAACCCATTTTCTACCAATTCCCATAGGTCTTGAGACTTAAATAGTGTCTTCATTTTAATACTCCAGAATTCATAACTCTCTCCTTTAAAAATTGGCATGGCAGGTTGTGAGATGCTCAGTGAATTTCCATTTGAAGCCAGGGTGTTTCTCTATTTCTCTCAAGTGTTTTACCTCACTAATCTAAGTTGAATCTGAACCGTGGCTCTGATACCACAAATGTTGGGAATTTAGAGTAGCAAAGTGTTGAGAGAGAAGTTGCAGAGAAAAAATAACACTTAGAAATGCAGAATATGCAAGTGATCTGCTACACGTTTTATTCCAGAACTGAAGGGCCCTATATATAGGCTTACAAGCAACTGAAAAACCAAAAAAATCTCAGCTAATATCAGATATTATTGCCACTACGTTCAGATTTATTTGCTGACCAGAAAAAACAGTAACTTAAAAAGCAAGAATCTGCTGGAATAAATATTAAAGACTAAGTCAAACTTGGATAATTTTGAATCAACTTTCAACACTAAAGTCACAAAAATAAAATATAAACCTTAATGTAACCAGGTTTGTGTTAGGTGTTTTTAGTCTATTTTATTCTGAACTTGAAATCGGACCTTTGTGGTTTCCTTCACGCTGCTACAATGAAGAAAAATAATTTAATATATTTTTGTAATTTTTTCTCTGTGTGTCAAAATTCCTTTGAACTTTATCTATGATGTTGAATTCATTTGTGTTTATTCATATCCAACTTACAGAGGGAAAGTATATTTCAAATATCAATAGAAAAATGGCTCCAATGTCTAAGAAAAATAAAAGACGAAAAGAAATTTGCATTGACAATACGGAATTGGATATCAACATTCAAACACCGAAGAGAAAATTTCAACGTTTTGTTCAATTGGAAGGTATCTATATCTAACTGCGGGAAGAAACATATTAGTATCACATTTTTAAAGATACTATTTCCTCATTTTCTTGTGACTTGTGTCAGTTTTTTCATTTATGTAGAATTTTTTTATTTTTTTATTTCGATAACTAAACGTATAAATTATTGTGCTTCAATACCACATTTTTGCCCATTCAACATATTCCTGTAGTATATAATATTTATTCTGGATAGTTTACTCTCATAAAAAGGGCATTTCAAGTTTTAACATTTGAAATGGTGTTGCAAAATCAAAATTTCGCAGCTATTGGTATGACCAATTCAGATTCGAGTACTCTTTTTGCTGATTGCGAAAATGAAGAAGATCAAGCAGGTAATAAAATATTTAACCTATTTATATTAACTACATACTATATTATATTATATCCTTCATCGTGACCTGATTTTGAAATTTGACTTTAGATTTGAAAGTGAATGTAGCGTTGGAAATTTGTTTCTGTTTAGTTCCCTGAAATTTATTTGAAATTTTGTTATGATTTATTTTGTGCGCCAAAGAAAAAGATTTGGCCTTTAGCCCTTTAAATTGTTTCATGTTGCTTTATTTATTTACCTAGAAGAAAAAGGAAAATGGAAATTTGGAATGGAATATCCAAAAATATGTTGCAATGGTGTTTTTAAGTTTTTAAAATGATTGGAGACTTTAAAAAATGAAAGGATCCATTAATTGACTTTTTCCAGACTGGTGGGGTTTATTTTTTTGAGAAAGTGTTTTGGAATTTGTTTTTGTATTTTTACTAAAAATGAGGTCCGTTTGGAAGTGGCTACATTAAACTAAAGTACTAGCTTAAACTCATTGTGATAAATGATTATGCATGCAATGTTATGTAATCAATTGAACAAATTGGATTCTGTTTGGATAGAATTCATTACCTTCGACTTCCCGGACTTGGACTTGATAAATCTTCATCCTTTGCAATCTGTAAATCTTCTGTAATCATTATACACAATATCATTGTGTACGAGCTGTTGAAAGAGCCGCTTTTATTTCATTTGTTCTAAAGTATTTTTTTTTAATTGGAATTATAGTTCAAATGCTTATGCTTCGTTTCTTTTTAAATCTATGTTTTTTTCCCAATTACACAAGAGATGTTTTCGTATTTAGTAGTCGTTATTGTAATGAAGTTTGTAACGATAGTGTTGAACCAAATAAGTTTATTTGATATATTTGTTTCGTCAAAATTGAAATTATAAGAACGTTTTACATTCTTTTAAATGGACATGTTTTGTTTCCTTTTTAGGTTCTACGGTGATCTTAATGATAGATAGCTGTTTTTCAGCTTATAATCATCAGCTTGGTGTTCATTCAGCGCTAATACCATTGATGTCTACAGGAAATGAAGGTTCGTTTTCGATATTAAACAAATCACACATGTTACCTTGCCTTGTGCTATGTGAATATTGTGGAGCTCTAAAATTTAAAAATGAACCTAAAGGCTTTTGTTGTTGTGATGGAGCTGTTAGATTGAAAACCAATGATACCCCAGATGAATTACATCATTTATTTACATCAAATTCTGCTGAATCCATTGAGTTTAGAACTTACGAACTTACAATAGCAATTTCTCATTCACTTCATTTGGTGTTCATTATGATAAAGATTTGTGTAAAAGAAATAAAGGTATCTATACCTTCAAAATTCAAGGTCAAATATATCATTTTATAAATGACATTCTTGTAGAAAATGGTCACCCTTCTTATATGCAACTCTATTTTTTGACACTGAAAATGAAATAGAGCATTGACTACAAATTTCTAAAAAGTTAACAAAATGTATACTTTCGGAGCTTGTAAAAGTGATGGAGCTGAATCTATACGCAATTTTTTTTCAAACTTTGTCGAATATTTCTAATTTGAAATCTCATGCTCTCAAAATTAGATCTGATTGTGGATTGGATCAAAGAATATATAATTCACCATGTGCATCTCAAGTTGTTGCTCTTTGGGTTGATAATGATTCTAATACTAATGATGGAGTTTGTGATATAACTGTTTCTTACAATTCTGGAGAAAAACATCGAGTACATTATTATTCTGGTTGTTATGATCCCCTTCAATACCCTTTACTATTTCCTTTTGATGAAACTGGTTGACACCAAGGTATTGTTAGAATTGACAAACGCAGAAGACAACAAACATGTGCAAATGAAAATATATTTTGATGTTCATCAATTAAATTATGCTACAGAAATTTTCGCAGTTGAAAATACAAGTGAACAATTTATTTATTCTTAGTATATTTATTTTTAAAATGTTTAAAATTTCATATTGTAAGACATTCTATGCCTTTTTCCGTTATGCAACAGAAGAAAAATAGAGCTCCAGTATCATGTAGAGAATACTATTCCTACAAGTTACATGTTAGACCTTCACATAAGTTTGTTCTCCAACTGAATTGAATTAAGTATTAGAAGATGAATTTTTTTTATCCTTTTAGTGCAATGAGCTTTAACATATTGTGACACTGTAGCTTAAGGAGTTAGTTTGTAATTAGCCATTAGCAGTGAATGACTGAATTTTTCAGTAATCTCAACTTGGTTCCAGCTGAACAAGAGAGAAAAGTTAAGAATTAGAACCAGTAAATTTAATCGTTTCTCAATTTTACATTCTTTTAAATGGACATGTTTTATTTCCTTTTTAGGTTCTACGGTGATCTTAATGATAGATAACTGTTTTTCAGCTTATAATCATCAGCTTGGTGTTCATTCAGAGCTAATTGTCACGGGCCTAGTTTCGTTACACCCGAACAAACTAGAACCGTGCGGCCTTAACGTTCTACAATTCCCGCACCTCACGAGAAAACGTTAAGTCAGCCTTTCCACGCCCACAAATAATTTAACCAATGAGGCTAAATTATACCCACGTTGAGAAGAGAATTATGAAGTAAGTAATATATGGAAAACAAGTAAGGTCGGGAAACTTTCTTTGTATAAATGAAAGGGAAAACTTTACAATCTCTCTAAGGAATAAATTCACTCAACTCTACATGGTTTACAAATGAGACTTCCATCTCTATTTATAGGCAAAACTTAAACCTCCTTAAGATCAGGTGGCCTTACTTTACAACCTACGCTTAGTTGTTCACAACTCGTGCTAGTTGTTTACAACTCATGCTTAGTTGTCATCAAGTGGATAAGGTTACAATTTTCCTTGCAAGTTATCGCCAACTCGATCTTAGCTTGCATAGAAGATATTATTCCTGCCAACTCGTGCTTAGCTTGCACCTTTGATAATATTTTCGCCAACTCACGCTTAGCTTGTATATTTGATAATATCTTGCAAGTGACACAAGTGGACAAGTTGTGCAAGTTGCCTACTTGCACCCCAAAATATCCCGCTGCAGGTTCATGTATTTTTCCTCCAAAATGGCTGGGTCGGGATTTAGAGAAACCTCATTGATGTCTTGGAAAACTGCACAATTTTAGGCAGCCTGCATTCTGCCCATTCCATCCTGTTGCAGCGTGCTGTCCACGCTGTTTTGCGGCCGTTATCGGGATGGATCGAACGTGACCGCGTGGGGCGTAAGTTAACGCTATTGATGTCTACAGGAAATGAAGGTTCATTTTTGCTACTAAACAAATCACACATGTTACCTTGCCCTGTGCTATGTGAATATTGTGGAGCTCTAAAATTTAAAAATGAACTTAAAAGTTTTTGTTGTTGTGATGGAGCTGTTAGATTGAAAGCCAATGATACCCCAGATGAATTACATCCTAAGAAGCATCGACACAGACATGAGTTGGACACGCCGACACGTGATTTTTTTAAAAATTTCTGACACGACACATCGCCGACACGTTGATTAAAAAAAATTTGTTTATTTTAATTTTATAGTCTAAAGTATTAATTTTTTGTACTTATTGAATCATATATATAATGATAAATAGAAATCAAACTTGACATTAAATTCATCAATGTTTCTTAATGACATAAGTTCAAAAAGTAAAAATGAAATTAATTACATCATTCATCTTGAATCTCTTTAACATCTTCATCTCCATCAGCAAATACCATCGCCTCCAATTCCGGCTCGTCTAGAGATAAATTAGCGACTTCAAGCACATCAATATCTTCAAATGTATCAAATGCATCTCCATTGATATCCCACATTTTAGTCTCTCTTTGTGAGTATTGCGCACTCCTCCTTGACAAGAGACGAATATTGCTATGGACGAAAACCAAATCTTTCGCACGTTTTGGAGTTAGCTTATTTCGTTTAAGAGAGTACAAAAAGGAATAAGTACTCCAATTTTGTTCACAATACGATGAAGAAGATGGTTGCCCCAATAATTTCAAAGCATAACTTTGAGGCATAGGTGTGCAAGCACCATAAATAACCCACCAAGTCTTTGGGTCCAAGCGATAATGATCATGGATGGATTCAAAATCACCAAAGTCATCTTCTATAGTTGAGAATTTGGCATACTTCTTATTCACCATAATACGCTCTTCATTTGACAAGTACCTCTTAAAGCATTTTATTCTTTCTCTTGAAATCTCCACATCTCTATGTGAAGCAAGTCGAGTGAGATCCTCATTAAGCCATTCCTCGCTATAGTACCTAAACAAGAGGAAAAAAAATGACAATTCATTCAATAACTAACTAAACATATTAAAAATTATGATAATGTAAATAAACATTAAATGTATAAATTAGATTTAAAAATTACCTTGGATTTAGAGAATGAGACAAGCAATGAAATGGAGTGTTATTTTTGTTCCAACGATCTACAAGTATCCGATGAACAACATTGTAGAATGATGATTCCTCTTCTTGAACTTTTTTCTCATGCCTATAAATTATTCCTTTCACTTTCTCAATCATTGTATCCCACGTGTCGTAAACCAAGTGAAGGCAAGGTTTATCCGTATCACAAAATCTAAGCATGTCATAAATGGGAGAAGTGAAGGAAAGAACATAACTTATAGAGTCCCACCAAAGATCATCAAACACTTTCAATTTTACAAAACTTGCCTTCGTCATGTCATCTTCTCGATAAAGTGACCATTTTTCACTAATAACCAAAGCTTGAAGACCACGTCGAATAAGCTTAAATCTTTTTAACATGACAATAATAGAAGCAAATCGTGTCTCCGCTACGGAAAGCAACTTCAAAGGCACAAATTCATTAAACATTGCTAGTCTCATGGAATGGTTCATGATAAAAAATTTTATAATCATTACATCATCATGAAGATTAGTAATCCAATTGCATTCCTCATATGTAATCAAATTATTTTCAACATTCTTTGCGGCACAAATGTTCTTCAAAGCAAGATTTAGTGTGTGTACAACACATGGTGTCCAAAAAATATAAGGATACTCCAATTCAATTATTTGTCCGGCACCTTTGCAATTTGGAGTATTATCGGTTATGACTTGAACCACCTTTTGGTGACTAATTTCATTTATAACCTCCTTCATCAAGTTAGCAATAAAATATTTATCTTTTGTTTCACCAGAACAATCAACCGCTTTTAAAAACATTGGTCCACTCTCGGTCACCGCCATAAAATTAATTAGTGGCCTTCTTTGTGGATCACTCCATCCATCACTCACAATGGTAACTCCTTTTTTCGCCCATGTGCCTTTAATTGGATTTAATAATCTTTCCACATTTTTTTTTCTCTTTTTGAAGAAGAGTAGTTCTCAACTTGTTGTAACCGAGAGGCAAAATCCCGAAATTCGACTATTGGAAGCAAGAGTATAAGAACTAATGTAATAAGGATTTCTTGCAAGAGTAAAAGGCAAACCACTTGAATAAAACATTCTAGCAATTTCGGAATCCAATTGGTCACGTGTTGTCACATTAAAAGCATTTTCTATTGCACTATTCTTTCTTTTCCTTTCCTCCAAAACATAACAATCCTCAGAACCCATATTATTCGATGGCAATAACACTCTTTTCCCTGCCTTAGTTTGCATTCTCAACTTGGCTTCATCTTCCGTTTTTTGCATTTCACATATATCTTTCATAGTTAATTTTTCACAAGCCCCAATTCCACAGTTTTGTAATTTTAACAAATGTGCTTTCACTTTTGTGTAAGAACTTGTCTTAGTTGCATTACAAAAATTACATTGCCAAAGAATGTTATCACCCTTTTCATTAAATTTATCAAGTTTTGTAATATATTTCCAAAGAGGTTTAGACAAATCATCATCCATAGCATTATCACTCATAACTTCAAAAGAAAAATAATTTCTAATATTTAAATAAAATAGGAGTGATATTACCCGAAACTTGAAAAAATATCTTCTTCTTGATCTTGCAAATGATTCTTCAAATGTGGATTGATGAAATTTTTGAAAAAGATGAAATAACGGAAAATAACTTGGATGTTCTGAGATTTTCTTACAATTTTCGTGAGTTACTGTGACTGAGGAAGAAAATGTATGTGTTGTTATATAAGTTTGATTTGTTGTTGAAGGGTAAAATGGTACAAATTGATCAAACAAAATATTGTACATTATTTTATAAAAAAATTACAGCCATTGAAAAGATACAAAACGTGCACTAAAGGAGAAGATTTACAGTTATGGGCCCACAAGTTGAAATTTACATTGGTAAAGGATGACTTTTCATTTTAGCCGTCTCTTCATCTTCTCATCTCTTTTTTTCTTTCTTTCTCTGACAATAAACCAGCTACCAAGTTCTTCTTCTTCTTCTTCTTCTCTTTTTTCTTCTTTCATTCGCAATTTTCTTTCCTTCCCTTGTTCCCCAGAAACCTCACTTCCACTGGTTTCATTTTTTCGGCCCACCAAAGCCTCACGTGACTCCGACGCACGTCGGCGACGTGTCGGACGCGTATCAGAATTGGACACTAGTACGTCGTCGCTGGGAGCGTGTCGGTGCTTCCTAGATTACATCATTTATTTACATCAAATTCTGCTAAATCCATTGAGTTTAAAACTTACCTATGAACTTACAATAGCAATTTCTCATTCACTTCATTTGGTGTTCATTATGATAAAGATTTGTGTAAAAGAAACAAAGGTATCTATACCTTCAGAATTCAAGGTCAATTTTATCATTTTATAAATGACATTCTTGTAGAAAATTGTTGCCCTTCTTATATGCAACTCTATTTTTTTGACACTGAAAATGAAATAGAGCAATGACTACAAATTTCTGAAAAGTTAACAAAGTGTATACTTTCGAAACTTGTAAAAGTGATGGAGCTGAATCCATAAACTTTTTTCGAACTCTGATGAAAATTTGCAATTTGAAATCTCACACTCTCAAAATTAGATCTGATTGTGGATTGGAAGAGTATATAATTCACCATGTGCATCTCAATTTGCTGCTATTTTGGGTTGATAATAATTCTAATACTAATGATCGAGTTTGTGATATAACTGTTTCTTACAATTCTGGAGAAAAACAACAAGCACATTATTATTCTGGTTGTTATGATCCCCTTCAATACCCTTTACTATTTCCTTTTGATGAAACTGGTTAGCACCAAGGTATTGTTAGAATTGACAAACGCAGAAGACAACAAACATGTGCAAATGAAAATTTATTTGATGTTCATCAATTAAATTCTGCTACAGAAATTTTCGCAGTTGAAAATAAAGGCGAACAATTTATTTATTCTTAGTACATTTATTTTTAAAATGTTTAAAATTTCATATTGTTAGACATTCTATGCCTTTCCATTATGCAACAGAAGAAAACAAGAGCTCCAATATCATGTAGAGAATACTATTCTTACAAGTTACATGTTAGACCTTCACATAATTTTGATCTCCAACTGAATTGAATTAAGTATTAGAAGATGAATTTTTTTATTTGTTTTATTTTTTTAGTGCAATTAGCTTTAACATATTGTGACACTGTAGCTTAAGGAGCTAGGTTTGTAATTAGCCATAAGCAATGAATGACTGAATTTTTCAGTCATCTCAACTTGGTTCCAGTTGAACAAGAGAGAAAAGTTAAGAATTAGAACCAATAAATTTAATCGTTTCTCAATAACCATGATATGATTTTTTTTGAAGACCTTTACATTCAGAGCAAGTAGAAGACTTACTGACCCGTCATCACCATCATCATCCCCAACAACCCTTCACCCAAAACAACATACCTCATCTTAAACAACAAGATACTTAATGGTATTTCCTCAAATATAACATTCTAGCATTTTCCAAAATCTATCTCCATCCTACAATCATCATATACAAAGCATACTGCATAAAATATCTTAACCTAAACAAAGAAAAAGTTATTATGTCTGGTTATAAATTACACCAAAAATAAATAAATAAATAAATAAAATTAAAAGCGCCAAATTTCCAAGACATGAAACAAATCTTCAAATAAAAATAGAGATAAAATATATATAAAAAAAAAGTATAAACTTGAAATTCAAAATTGAGGTGTCTGTCTCTATCTCTGGGCAGAGAAAAAACTCACTAACCGAACTATAATTTTTTTTTTTTTTTTTTGGTTTGTCGTTGGAATCTCTATCTCTGCAAGTAGAGTTCTTGATAAATATATGTAAAATTGATCACCCAAAAAAGATGTCGAATTCGGAATTCAAAGAAAAGCGGAAAGAAGAAAGTAGGTGGATATGGTGGTGAGGCGATGGTACATCAAAATGTCGGTCTCCACTGTTGAAGTGGAAGCTGCAGTCGAATAGTTGCCAACGTCAAGGTAACATCTTCTGAACAGTAAAAAATACGCCTGCAAAGAAAAGCAGATCTAGAAAGAAATACGATAACAGTTAATTATCCAATTGTACAACAAATTATCCCATAACATTTTTTTCAACATTTCATAAAAAGAAAAGCATGTCTACAAAGAAATACTTTTGGATGTAGAAACAACATCCAACAAGGCACAGATTATCCCATAAAAAAATTTTCAACATTTCATAAAAAGAAAAGCATGTCTACAAAGAAATACTTTTGGATGTAGAAACAACATCCAACAAGGCACCATATGACGTCATCTTTATGACTCACACCTCCAAGATGAAGACATCGTACAGCTAGGCACTTCACAAAGGATTCTTCGACTTGCAAATACAAATGCTGCAGCAACAAATAGCCCAACAACCCAGACAACGTTTATACATGAGGCTCACAAACATACAGACAAAAAATAAAAGTAGGAGTAGTTTTTCAGGACTTTGAGATACGTAATTTGTATCTCTTTTGCATGTTTATGTCCCACCAAACTTGATTCCAGGCATCTCTATATGCCCTTCTAGATTTTGTTCATTGTACATGTTAACATGTTAGAACCTATATATCCAAGTATGGCATGTAAAAGCTTTGTATATGGCATGGAACATCTTTTGATTCTATGAAACTACATCACCAAAGACACGTGCAGCACACGTACTCTCACTAGTATATATATATAAATGGAAATGTTGTGAAAAAGGTCAAACTTGACTGTCTATATTGCGGGTCTAGACAACAAAAGCCGTGACTAATGCGAACCTAGGTGCAAATAATACGAGTCTAGACACCAAAACGCGCGTGCCTTATATTTTTCAAAGCTAAATAAACTAATTACTTAAAAAGAATTATTATTAATAATCTTTGTATTATAGTAATTACAAAATAAGGAAAAACCTAATTACACCAAGCATGTAAGCCGTGAGGCTTGGTCTTGCCACCTTGTCAAACTTTACGCCTTTTAGAATTCACTACATTTTTATTTTTTTCAGACAATCTCGCTCCAAACTTTTAGTTAGAATATATTTAAACTATAATAATGTATCTTTTTATATTTCACAAAAATTTAATGTTCTAATCCGCAAAACACATCAATGAAATATTAGTTTTTTTCAACCATGACTTATTTTTGTATCGTATCAAAATTTATAAATTGGAAAAAAAATAAAAGACGATGGGTTGAACTTGCCAAGCCCACAATATTGGTTGGTTCATGGATCGATGTGATCCATAAATTTCGAAAGATGATCCATGTTAAATTTTGACCATATTTTTAGACAGGCTGGTCCCCTATGATAAGAGAACAAAATCGAGTATAAATTCGTATCATCTATTTTAACAATCTAGGTTTTAGTAAACTATTATCTTGCTATCCATTTCGATAGGTGGACATTTTCTTGATAGAATATGAAGATTTCTATGATGTAACAATAAGAAAAAGGGATAAACATCGCACAATGAAGAATAATGTTATTCATATTTAGAGCCAGTTCTGTGATTTTAGGGGGTTTGAGGTGAGCATCTTAAATTAGTCCACAAAATTTTAGTATACATGCAAAATCTATAAATGTACTTGTTAACTTAAAATTAACAATAAAACAATAAATAAAATGTATTGTACAAAAGATTTCTATTATAATCAAATAACAAAACCGACAATGTTTCAAACACTCAACTAAATACTATTCGTCTTGTGACTTTAGAGGCAAAAACATTATTGAAATTTGAATAATCTACACGTTCAATCATTTCTTTCTCAATTGAAAATGTAGTCAATCAATTCAATCTTTTTTGTGATATAGCTTATTGGAGATAAGATATGATTA